GGAGCATTATAATATAATTTCCAAGTACATAGAAAAATATGGAAAATTACCCAATTCATTCTATGAATAGCACAGAAACTTGATACTAAAGTCAAAGAAAGAACAGTTTGTGTGTGTGTGTGTGTGCATGTGTGTGTGTGAGAGAGAGAGACAGAGAGAGAAAGAAGCTTAAGTAAAAATAGTAGAAACGTGTTTTTTTAAAAACTCATGGCTAAGTAGTGTTTATGCCAGTCATCCAAGAATGGTTCAATACTATGAAAAAGATTAATATAATTCATTACACTAACAAATAAAAGAAAAGCTATATAAACATACTGATAGTTGCTAAAAAAAAGCAGTGGAAAATAAATTTAACCACCATTCCTGTTGTTGAATATCAAGGAGAAGAAAATTTCCATAACTTTATAAAATGTGTCTATAAGAAATCTATAGCAAGCTTCATATTTAATAGTCAAATATTAAATGCTTTTCTAGTTAAGAGAGGAGCCAGACCTGGATGCTACTATCATTGCTAATCTTTAATATTATTCTAGAATGCATTATCAAATGCATTTAAAAGTGAAATAGAAGAACTATATATTTGAAAAAAAAAGCAAAGCACTCTCACTCTTCTTTCAAAGTAAATGGTATGATCATTTACCTGGAAAATGTAAGATAAATGATCGAACTATTAGAACAAATAAGAAAGATCAGGGTGGTGACTAGATACAAGAACAAAATGAGACCATATCTTCCCTATTGACCAGCAGTAAGCAATTCAAAAATTCAATGGGAAAAAAGAACCTGTTCAAAATACTAACAAAAATTATAAAATATCGAAGAATAAATCTAAAAAGAAATGTATAAGATTTATATGAAGAAAAACCATTGACAGCCATAAAAGAAGCCCCACATACCTGCTTTAAAAATGGGCAAAGGACCTAAATAGACATTTCTCCAAAGAAAACAAAAAAATGGCCAACAGGTATATGATAAGGTGCTCAACATCATTGATCGTCAGGGAAATGCATATCAAAACCACTATAAGATATCACCTGGCTCCCATTAGGATAGCTATTATCAAAAAATCAAAAGATAACAACTGTTGGCAAAGGTATGGAGAAAAGGGACCCCTCGTACACTGCATTGGTGGAATGCAGCCATTATAGAAAATAATACAGAGGTTTACAAAGAATTAAAAATAGAACTACCATATGACCCAGCAACCCCTCTTCTGGGCATGTACACAAAGGATATGAGATCACTACCTCATAAAGATATCTGCATTCCCATGTTCATTCCAGAATTATTCACAATAGCCAAGACAAGGAAACAACCTAAATGTCCATCAATAGACAAACGAATAAAGACATTGTGATATATATCTAAACACACACAGAAAGAAAAATTTTTCATGATCTCAAATAAAAAGTCAAATATTTAGAGATAGAGAATAAAACAGTGGTTACCAGGTGTAGAGGAGGAGAGAGGAAATGGGGAGATGTATGTCAGAGGATATAAAGTAGCAGATATGTAAGATGAAAAAGGCTAAAGATCTAATGTGCCACGTGAGCACTACAAGTAATAAAATTATACCATATTTAGGATTCCTACTAAATGAGTGAATTTTAGCTGCTCTTGCCTCAAAAACAAAAAAAACAAATGGGTAACTATGTGATATGATGGACATGTTAATTTGCTTAGCTATAGCAACCCAACACCCAATATACATATCCCATAACATCATGTTGTATACCTTAAATATACACAATAAAAAGAAGACATACATAAATGAAGATACATACTATGTCATTTTCCCCAACTAAACTGTAAATTCAATGTAATTCAAAGAAAAATCCTAATAGAATTATTCAAGTTAATTAATAAGCTGATGCTAAAATGTATGGGCTGGAACACCCAAGACAATTTTGAAAAAAAAGATAAAGAAAGAAGACTTGTCTTAATAGATGTGATATTTTATAAAGCAAAATTTGTGTGATGTTGGTAAAGAAAAAGACAAATAGATAAAAGAAGTAGACTAGAAAACCCAGAAACTCCTGTACCTATAAGAACTTTATATACAGTAAATGTAGCATTTCAAATAATCAGAAAAAGACTATTCAAGTCAATGAATAACAACCTATTTGGAACACAAT